GCCAATTCCACATTGACCTCTTGGGCCCTGGACCATTCCTCCTCGCTGGCTGCCTTTCGCAAGCAGTGGGTAGCTCCCCCATCAAGAAGAGCACGTCCCCCTTCTCTCACCTCCAGGCTGCTGAGCCGAATGGCCTTAGCTGATGCCGACGGTCGCAAGCTCTTCAAGAGTGTGGTGGCCTCGTTCAAGAGATCTTTCATCTCGCCGGATGTCCCAGCACCCTTGTCGCCCTCGTTGGAGTTGGTCTGATCTGTCTCGCTCCCCCCAACCTTTGGACCAAAATCCACAGCATCGGTCTTTCCAGACCCGGAACTCCCCTTCTCCTTGATGGCCTTGACCACGTTCTTCTCAGGAGAGTCCTTCACCTTGGACTTGGATGCTGGGCATTCCTTCTTGGAGTGACCAGTCGCCGAACACCCAAAGCAGCGGCCCTTCTTTTCTATGCCTGTCCAATCATGCTTGAACCTGCAATCTTGGCCTTTTCGACATCCATCCTCTGTTCCCCAGAAGCGGCAGATCTTCTCCTCCTTTGGTCCATCCGTCTTTGCCTTTCCAGCCCCCTTGTCCGGCTTCTCCTCCAAGACCGTGGACATCGCCTTGACCTTGGTGGTCGGGGGGTTGGACTTGACCTCATTCTGGGGCTGGATTTCGCTGATGGCCAGTGACTCTGCCTCAGCTGTCAGCATATCCGCGAAGTTCAGCACGGATTCCAGCGTAGGAGTCACGTCCACCCCCAGCGCCGCCCTAGTAGCAGAGGTACGGAATGCTGCTTGGTTCGATGCCTTGACAATCTGTTCAGACATCTTGTCCAAGGCCCCCAGGAGCAAAGTTGAATCCGGGGTCGCGATCTCAAGTTCCTGAGCTCGTCGAAGACTTCTCCGCCATCCCCTGAGGAGTTCCACCGTCTCATTGAGGCCCTGTGGTGTTTTTGGCTCCACCAGCTGACGAAGAAGCCTGGATCTCTCAGCCAGTCCTCCCGGCTGGTACCTCCTGAACAGAGCGTAGAGCACATCCACCGAACTTGAAGCCCTGTTCGCCAGTGTCTCTGCTCGGATGGAGTTCGGCACGGCATTCAGCAACATAAGCTGTCCCCTCTGCTCCAGCCTGCTCCACACTGTACCACACTCTGCCGGCACTTGTGTCTTGATGTGAAGCCGCTGGACCGGCTCAGCTCTCAGCCATTCCCTGTAAGCCGCCATGGCCAACTGCAGGACTTCCTCCCACCATTTCCATGAAGTGGCGCTCAAATCCCTCATAGTTGGGGAGATGAGTTGAATCCAATCTCCCAACACCAGCGACCCAAGCTCCCCTTCTCTCATCTCCGGTAGGGACGGCAGCTCCACCGAACGAATGGATTCTCCCCAGCCACCACCGGAAGCTCCTGTCCCCAACTGTCTCAACACCGACTGGGCAGCCTGCTCCAACGGCGAACCCTTGCCCAGGTCCCCATTCTTCACGGCGCAGTCCGGAAGTCCTCCACGACCAGGTCCTAGCCCTCCTTGGGTTCCGTGATGTGGAGTTGCAAATCCCTCCCGGTTCTCAAATCCGTGACCCTGCCCTCCAAGAACTCCCGCTTGAATGGCTCCCAGCCACGATTCTGGTACCGGAGGCTGTCCCCGTCCAACTTCATGAAGTTCTCCCGAAGGTCGATGAACCGCATGCTGTAGTCCTCCATATCCATCTCCAGGAAACTCTGGAATCGCTCCCAGGGTCGTTGTGCCCACCTTCCTTTCAGCCTCCGGAGTGGTGGGTGGCGGACCTGTCGGTGGACTCGGTGGAGGAGTCGACGATGGAGGCCTCGGTCGATCAGAACTCCCTCTTGAGCATCGAATTCTGTGCCATCACGGCCTTCATAACCTCCTTGAGGTCCATCCCAACCGCATCCTCGGTCGCCATCTCTCCAGTCGAAGGTGCCGAACTCTGTGGCAGTGAGGTAGGTCGCATCGCTCGGAGCATAGCTTCATCCTTCATCGTCTGCGACCAAAAGGGATTTACCTGGGGGGCTGGATGTCCCCCAAACCCTTTCCCATCCTTCTTTCTGGACTCCTCTCGCCTCTGAGGGCCATAGGAGGTCGGGGGGCCCACCAGCAGCAGCTCCTGCGAGACCAAAGCGACGATCCCCGCCTCCGGCGGCGCATCTTCCAGCGCCAAAGTGCCACCCTCCTCTCGGGCGCTTTCCATGGAGGAACCCCCTTCCGGGGATCCGGCGCCTGCCGCGCCTCCGCCCTCAGCCGCCGTCCGCTGCCTCCGTCGAGCCATGGCGGCCATCAACTCGCCTCTCCTCGCGAGAAGGTCGAGGTGGTCTTCCTAAGAACACCGCGTTGGGCTCATAACCTCCGTGAGCGTGATCCGCTCCTTTTCTGTGCTAAAAAAGGGCTCCGGTGCGATCATAGCCATAAGGCCTTCGAAACTTGGTACACTTCGATTTGTGCACCCACAAATTCAACCCAGTTTCACACCCCACAGAGTGAGGGACATACTGTACTCCAATTGCGCATGCGACTGATTTTGCAAGCGAGTTTTTTGTCACCTATGGGCAGCGGGGAGGCCAGCTGAAATCTTTGTGGAGCTGTTTGGGCCAGTTGTAACTGAAGCAGTCTCTCCGTGGCGCGGCCTGAGGTTTGGATTGTTCGGTTGTCTTGTTTTCAGGGTTTTGACTTGTGAGGGTTAAAAGGAGTGATGTGGAATGAAGCCTAAATGAATGAAGTCCGAGAAAAGGATTGCTTTAGACTGGCCGCAGTGCCCCAGACAAGAGAGTGGAATGAATTGTGCCGAATTGTGCCAGGCACTCTCGAATGTTGAAATGGTGGGAATCTAACTGAGCTTATGAATGCCAATCCTTGGAAAATGACGCCGAAAAAGAAGGACGAAGTCCAAGAGACCAAGTTTTATATATACATGTTACGTGCACACAATACATATATACGGATATATACGGTGTATATATATATATATAAACATATAAAGTTCGTTTGACCAATTCCTGATCTCGCGGGTTGCGACACATCTCCGAATCCAGAAAAAAACGCGTTCCACAGCGCTTGCACTGCAGCGTTTGCACTGGAGTGTTCGAGGTTAAGTTTGGGTGCCATGTGCGGCTCCAACAACACGGGCGAGTTGTCTGCTATGGCCGAGGCCGAGGTTGTCGGTTTTGCGAGGCTTGACATGGCCGGGTTGTTTTCGGGGTCACAAGGCTTTGCTATGGCTGCGGGATGAATGCCCCGAAGAAAGGACGCCAGCCGTGCTGCACTACGACTCAGAGTCTCAAGATTGCACTGGTCTCACATTGCCCAGCTGACATTCAAGTCATGAGTCATGTTGTTGAAAAAGGTATGTGGCCAACATCGTGCTGGGCCGCAACCGTGCTCACAAGAGCCTTGGCAGACATTGTGCAAGAGTGCCGCTTGCAGAGAGCGCCACACTTCTGACCTGTTATTTGAATGCAGTGCGGAAGACTCAGTAGAAGCTTTCTGGGGCATGTTTATGTCTCTTTTGCTGAGCAGCTTTTCACTCTTTCCCACTTTCTTCCTTCATCTTTGTAAAAGTCACATGAAGGAATGTGGAGCTCGCCCAGAAGTTGCAAGGACTCTATGCTGAAGTGCAGGCCGCAGTGATGCGGTGCATGCGTTTGTGGGTTTTTCTTAAGAGTTTTCTTTCAAAACGACACCAGCTTGGAGATTCACAGCCACAATTTCATCATCATCATCATTTTCTTCTTCTTTTTAGGTTGGAGGCCATCGCTATTAAGTTGCTTATTGAATTCTTTTTTTTCCTTCTCCGGAACCTTGCCGCCAATCCGTCGATCCGTCGTCGTTCGGATCGCTCCTACGGCGAGGCCTCGCGGCCCGTACGACTCTCCCACGTCAAGGGCCATTCGGGCTGCGCAGGGAACGAGCGTGCTGATCAGCTGGCCGCGCAAGGCGGAGGGCTGGAGCGAGAAGATGAGAACATTTGGCATGGGTTTTGAGGGTTGGGCTCCCTCATGGACGTTTGATTTGGATGTTGGGGTTCATTTCAACAAGCACGACCTGTCCTGAAGCTTGTTGGACCGCTTTACGGCGTGCCCGCAGCCTGCAGGTACGGAGGGGAGATTCAGCTTGCAATCCAAGCGCTGGGCCAAACACGCTGAAGCCGCAGAGGCTGCTGGCCTGGCGAACAAGGCCCAATTCAACCTGTTGAGTCTTTGAAACGAGAAAGTCAGAGCCAATGAAAAGAGAAGGTCTAAGCTATGTCCCGTTCAGGAGCTTGAGCTTGATTATGTTGGTTTTACAGACTTCAAATTGAACCCTTGTCCCTTGCTGCCGCATGCTGCCGCTTGCTGCCGCTTGCTGCCGCTTGCTGCCTGCTTCCCTGACTCGCAAGCCGCGCAGGCTTGCGTCATCACTGTGAAAGTGGAGAAAGGCGGGTGGACATGTTACAGTATTTCTGCATCCTGCCATTCTAGCCATCACACAAGCTTTGCACCACTTGAGCTCACAACAGCTAGTCAAGCCTTGCAACCTCTCACAATCTATATACCCTGACAACAGTTGACACGCATCACCTTTGCAACCTTTTGAAGGACGCCGACCACCAACACCGGCAACTGGTAGAGCCAAGAAAGCGCGGCGGCTTGCGTTGGCAGATCCGGGTGATGCCGAGTCATCGCCCGGCGTGGCGCCAGTGCTCTGAGCAGCTGAAGAGCTTTGCCGGTGAGGCATTTTCCATGATTTGGTATGAAGAGACTTGAAGAGTCATACCAAATATTGATAGTTTTTTGTTAGTGTGCCTTTGAGAATGGGTGCACGTTGACTACAAGCTTGATGCTAAGGGGAACCCTTGTGAGTCTCAAAGGCACTTCAAATTCAATGTCGCAACTACTTAATGCTGCAAATCGGAGGCTCGGCGGTGTGTTTTTTCGCGAAGAAAAGCCTGCGCATGCCGGACCCATGCCATGCCATGCCAAACTCATGTCGAAAGAGTTTGTTGATGGTGTAGTACGTGTTGCGGGATTTTGGCTTAGGGTGTTGCTTTTCTAGCTTTCTTGGACAATGGCGAGTGAAGACACTCCCTTGCGGCCTGGCCGCTGCACTATCTCGGGTGAGGCGAGGAAGCGAGCTATGGTCTTTGCATCTGATTCTTTGCGTTTGCTTTGTGTCCTCCCCTGTCCCGCCTTGTGCTAGGTCTACAAAATCGATGGCAAGGAGGTGGTGTTGATTCTCGGCGGAGACTAAAGTGACCAGCCTCCCGCCCGCCTCGTCTCCGTGCCGGACCTTGGTGCCGGCCGTGCCGATAGCGACCAGGATGGGTGGCAACTACTGCGTCAAAGCAGGACCATACTACCCGCCACTGGAGGCAGATGGGCCATGTGGGCTTCAATTGGATCTTGTTGGATGACGCCCTGCCCTGCCATTCCGGCAGGTGGTTCGGAAGGATGCCAAGCTGATGGCAAAGGGTGCGAAGTCGTGATTTGGCTGCAGAGCGGTGGCGAAGTTGCGAAACGCCTCCGATGTTTGATCTCGGTGAGGATGGCCTATGTGCCACCACCCGCAGCTGATGGCACTCCCAGACCTGCAGCTCAGCTTCCAATAAAGACAGACATAGACAGATCAGACTGCTGAGCTTCCATTTCACTGCTTGACTAAGTGTTTGCAGAGTTGCGAAGGTAGTTCCTTGTGTCCGGCTGCCAGCCCTGATGGAAAGTGCACTTCCTGCAAAGGGTCCTATCGAGCCTCGTCATGGGTGGGGGAGGGCAACACAGAAAGCACGGCACTTTCAGTGGCGGAGTGATCGCGATGTGGTTGGAGGACCTCCCGATTCTAATGCACAGCTTCTGCAAGGCCTAGCTTCCTTAGGCAATATTCTGAGGGCATTGGACTTCTTGTATTCTGAGGATGCCACCTTCAAAAGCAAACTGGAAGAGACCATACAGGCTTTTCGAGATGAGGGTGTCTACGACGTTCAGCTTGAATAGACAGCTTTGCTTGAGCTGGTGAGCGATTGGACTAGTTTGTGTTGTTTGCCGTGGACGGCTGGGAAGACTTGATGTAAGGTCTTTCTTGATATGCACCAAGACGCCTTTGGCACCACAAATGGTGGAGTCGCTTGGCAGAGCGCCTCAAGCCGTTGTCTTTCTTGCTGACCAAGGGGGCTTCATTCTACAACCTTCCAAATTCTGTTGCTTGTTCCTGAGGAAGGTTACCCCTGGTGGGTGGCAGAGGATTTTCAGAAGAGGGCAGGTTGCTGCCTGGAGCAGTGTTGCTGTTGCTGCTGCTTTTCCAGCAGCTGCTGGTCTTGCTGTCCGGAAAAATGTCGCACCTCATACGTTTCAACCCCGCAGCATCCATTGCAGCCTTTCTGTGGCCTACCAAACTGCCTGGCCAAATGCTTTAATGTGGGCATCACGACCGGTGTTTGTCGAAGAAACATTGAGGGACGTTTATTTTCCAAGTGTTTCACGGCAGGGAGAAATCATTATGCATGGTGTGTCCCTGCTCCAGGACATACAGCGAAGATCCTGAACCCTGGCTTCCCTATTCCGTGGGTGGCGGACAGGGTAATCCTGCCCTTATGAACATTGGCAATGCCAGCATGAGAACCAACAACTCTGATGATAGATGGAGTACATTGATAACGTCTGCGCAAGTTCAGAATTGTGTTCCACGCGTCTACAACTCCGCTCACCATGCGGAAGACAAAGCCACATTCTTCGATCCTTTCGTGGGATTGGCCAAATACCTGTGCAGTGTTTGGGACAAGCACCTTGGCTGGATCGGTTGGGTTCTCGACTCTGGTGCCGCAAGGTGTTGCATTGTTATCACTAGTTAGTGGTCGCCAATGTGTAATGGTCTCCCCGAAGATATTTTTGGCCAGGCAACCTGAGCTTGAAGTAAAACACATTGCAATTAAGGCATTTTAAAGGTGCCACACCCAAGTTTTGCGCCCTGCATGCACAGAAACATGGCTCTGGCATTAGCTGGCCCTAGCTCCCAGCTTGCTGCCACAAAATATGGAGGGGCAGCTGTTGAGCCTGTGAACTTGATGTTCATGGCTGAATCAGTTTGTGGCACGTTCCTTGACCCTCTTGAGCTCTCCCGCTTTGCTGTAACCACAGGTCGGTGAAGGGTCCAAGCTCAAAATGGTGAAAGGTCTTTGTGAAGGGTCACACTCGGCAACACTTGAAACTGAATCACTCCTTACATGCTCGTGCTATGTCACAGTGTCAAAGGAGGAGGCAAGTCCCAAAAAGTGTCGACCATGGAAAGAGCACCTGCAGCTAGGCCCAGCTCAGTCACTTCAACGCACACAGCTGCAATGCAGCTTGCTGTTTGCTTTTCTTAGTGGCCGGTGTTTTGCTTAAGAAGCTGGCAGAAACTCCAGAAGGGCTAGGGCACCTTACCATGCAGTTCTGCACAAAAACGTGCGAAGGGTTTTCAGGAGAACGAAGCGTCTGCTTCATGATTTATTTTTGCAACCCTTTCAAGTTTCTATTCAGCGTTACAGGTATGAGAATGTCGTTGCGCTGGAGCTCATGAATGAACCTCTTTTGGGCGGCTTGCCAAACCTGTTCCATTTCTTCACTATTTGGAGGCAGATTCTTTCCTTCCAAGCAGATGTGATGGAAGCTGCCCAGCTTGTCTAACTGAGGAGTTCGTTGACCTAACTATAGTCTTTCGACATATTAACTCAGCACAAAAATATACGACTTTGCTCCCAGTAGCTTCTTGCTCCTACTAGTAAGGCCAGGAGCCCCTGGCAGAGCGTCCTTGCTCCTAGTAGCGATGCCCTTTGCTCCTAGTAGCCAACATTACTCCTAGTAGCGACTTGAATGACTCTTGGCAGGTTTTCGCTTTTTGCTGCTTCACTGTGCCCGGCTCGAGGAACACCTCTAAGGCTTTGGACGAGGATCCATCCATCAAGTGCCCGATTGCAATAGCAAACTGGAGCAGTACCGTAGAAGGACCGAATGACTCCAGATCCTTTGCCATGAGCAAACACAGGCGGCATGGAACTGCAGAAGTGCTCGATCACTTGCCATGTTGTTCAAAGCATCAACATCGAACACTCTTTTTGTGTGCATGTGCTTCGGACATGTGGTTGTTCTTACCATCGGTAGCGACTCGCCAGGAGAATCTTGCTTCGTCTCCTGCCTGGCTTGTTTTGGACTGGCGTCCGAGTGAGTGAATCCAATGAGTTGAGCTGTTTGGACGGAACAGGGACACCCAGTGGGCACGCAGTGGGCACGAGACATGGCTGTTCAGGAGCTCCCAGCAGCGCCATGAAGTGCTTCAAGTCCTATGCAAACCAGAATCGCCTGATCCTCTCCTTCCATTTCTATTCTCCACCTTCAACGGCCGCACGGCAATTAGACAACATCCTACCGATGTTTCAGAACTAAGTGGAAACCAGAAAGGATTCCAATTACCAAGTGTGAGTGTGTACAATTCCAATCTGTAGTGCCATGCCTAGTTGCCCCATGTGTCTCTTGCCGCCGCCCCGAGAAAGCCATGGAAGAAGACATTCAGCTGGCCAAAAAGAATGCGGCCAAGTTCGGCGGCATCCCTATTTTTCTCAGCGAGTTTTGGGAGGCACGGCACGGCCCAATTTTTTCGTTGCAGCAATGCATGAAAAGCCATTGAGAAAGGTTTTCTTTAGGCTTGACCTTGCTTTCTTGCTACCTCCATGTGGGGTCACAGGACAGTGCCGTCAACTTTGCAGACAAGCTTGCAATGGCTTGCGATGAAGGTGTCAGCGCCATCACCTACTGGCAGTATGTCGCCTGATGAAGCGAGAGAAATCAAACCCTCAGCCATCCCTTGAAGAACCGATTCCTAGTAGCGTCCTTGCTCCTAGTAGTAAGGCCAGGAGCCCCTAGTAGCTTCTTGCTCTTAGTAGCGATGCCAGGAGCCCCTAGTAGCGTCCTTGCTCCTAGCCAGTTAAAGCCTGGTCCCGAAACATCAACCCAGCAAATACTCGGCTAGAACCCACCAACGCTCCTCCCCGCTTCTCAGGCAGACACAGAGTGGACTGGGCAAGAAGGCTGGTTTAAATATCCAGCTTCAGTCACATCAATTGGAACTCCGGTGGACGCCTCCGGCAACATCAACACGGCGGTGGCTCGGTCGGTGGCTATTGGCACGAGACGAGTTTCTTTTTTGGAACGTGTTGAGGTAGACTCCAGGTTCGCAGAGGCAGGACAGCTTTTACATCTCTCTATCGTTCTTTTCTCAAAGAATGATGGAACTTGCTCTCTTGCTCTTCGCCAAGGCTTGGGATGCTTATTCCAAGACGGTGGCTGATGGCACCTTCTTTGGAGGATACATCACTGGTGCTGGAGGTGCCTTGCCGCAGCTTCCTTGCTGTTGCAGTTGCTGGATGTAGAACCTCCCATAGAACACGGGCATATTTTGGACATCATCTTCTAGTTTATTGGCCGAAGACTCCGAGGACCACCGCATTTCTTTGTTGGCCAGGATTTCCTAGAATGGTTTTCTAAACGAAGGAAAGTGGGTGTGTGCACATGCTGTGCCCCGACATTTCTTGTGGACCAGGACGCTTCCAAAAGTCGTGTCCATGTTCATAGTACCTTAAATCATCAATGAGCCTCTAGAGGTTTTTCAGGGATCTTCAGTGCATCCATGGGTGATGACTTGTACCATGTTCATGCAATACTGTAAGTACTAGATGGGTCGTCGGCAGGGATATCCATCTTGAAGTCACTAGTCTTGGGTGCTGGCCACGAGGCGCTCAGATGAATGTCTTGGAGTTGGTTCCTCCCGAGAGTGCAGCTGTAAAGATGGAACGAAAGGTGTGGCCAGTTGGCCACATGACACCCCTGCACAAAGCTCGGAGATGTATGATGAACAAGGAGAAGGAGCGGAACATCTGAAAAAGGATTTGTCGGGAAGTTGTATGTCACACTTTGAAAAACACTTGGACACCTTTTTGTAGCCAGGGTGCAAAGCCACCTCTCGTAGCATCGAAATCTGATGCCTGGAGGGGCCTGAGGGCTCCAAGGACACTCCCAGGATTGGGATGTAAAGTTCGGAGCAAAAACACGACCGATTCATGACAGCCTATATGCAGTGAAGAGCGCATTGGATCCCATACCACCATGCTGGACAGACACGTCCACTGTGCACAGTGGTGGAAAGCACCATCATGTCTACTGAGTACTGTATATATACATTGCATTTTTTTCCTTTTTCTTTCTTTCTTTCGTTCTGTCTCTCTCTCTCTCTCTGTCGCTCTCTCTCTCTCTCTCTCCTGTTGGTTCACACCAAGGTTTGCTACAGGCCTGCTAGGCCTTCATTTTGCCTCGCTCACCAAGGCAGCCTTCCAGGCAGCTCATGCCCATGCACGGCACACAGGCCGTTGTGCGACCATTTGGGTTAAGTGAACAGTGAACAGTGAACACGGGTTGCTGATGATTGATGATGATTGCACATGAGCCATGCTTTTTGGTAGCCGCAGCCTCGGCTCCATCACCCGTGGCAGCCAAAAGGGGAATCAACAGGATGGCTGAGGATGGTGCTCAGAGTCGATATGCCGAGGTGTCGTGATACGAGTTCGGAGTTCGGAGCTGACAGGCTTTGATCAAGGACGCTACTAGGGCCTAGGGCGCTCCTAGCCTTACGAGGAACAAGAACGCTACTAGCAACAAAGGGCATCCCTACTAGTAACTAGTAACAAAGGGCATTGCTCTATTAACCTCACATGTCGACTAACTCGGAGAGATTACTGGTCGACCCGTTTCGCTTCTGCCATGGGAGATGTGCGGCTCCCGCGGCGGCGCAGGGGCGCGCAGCCGGAGCCGACGGAGCCGACGGGGCCGACGGAGCCGGTGGCAGACTTGGCCTTATGCCCTTTGAACAGCCAGGAGCCTGTTCAGGTGCGTTTCATGCGTGTGGCACGGGCACACTTAGGTTTGGGGCAGGTGCTTAGAGATGTTCTTGCCGATGTCTGGCTGATGTATGTAATGCAGGGTGAGGCCTTTAGATTGCAACAGTGCTTTCTTCTGCTGCTTGAGTTTTGGGGCAGTGGTGGAGTTTACTCGGTCTTCTTGCCTGTCCTTCCGGATTCATGAAGTTCTGTGGCATGCATGATGCAAAGCCTAGATGCGCAGGCAGAAACTGTGGAGCAACTTGAGAAGCTGCAGAATGTTGGGCCCGTGTGCCGGGAGCTTGCCCTCAACACTTCTTCTCAGGACGACTGCTTGTGCACTCTTGTTACACGGAGATAAACCTCAACGTCTCATGGACGGGGCAGTAGAGAGGTTGAGCGGACAGCATATTTTGCTCATTTGTCCTTTACACCCCACTGAAGTTTGGCCTCAGATTCTTTGCGTCACTTGTCACTAGTGTTGATTGGCGGCGTTTGGTGTCAAGCACCAGCACTCACACAGGAACACCGCCTGAAAACCTATGGCATGGTGGCTTGGCAGCAAGCAGTTGTTATGTTGAAGGGAGACCTCAGCGGATCAACCCATGCACTCATGAGTTGGGTTTGCCGGAGCCACTGGGGCACTAGGCACCACCATCGCAGGAGACAAGCATTCACCTTTCACTGGGTGCCCGACCTTGCAGCCAGGTGCGAGAAGCTACAGGTTCCACTCTCAGAAGTACCTGTTTGCTGATTTTTTCTTCTGTGTGAGCTTCGCAAACTCTCCCGGCGCCATGCACTCTCAGCAGCTGACCTAGGATACGATGTGACTGATCCATGGCTTTCAGATGACAACATGGAGACCTTGAGTGTTCTACGCTGCGGCTCTTTAGTATCCAGACATATCTAAGGAGGGCTATTTTTTTAGGGAATTTGTTTGTTGAGTTTTGGGATTTTTGATTTGCTTCTTACCGCTTTTCCGACTTTTCCTTGCTTCTCTATGACCTCTCCTGCTTTTCTTGCTCTTTTTCTTGTCCCTTGCTTCTCATAGCTTTTCTGTGGTTGCTCCCGCTTTTCTTGATTTTTCTGCTTTTCTGTACTTGTCTTGCTTTTCCTTGCTTTTCATTGAATGCCTTTTTCTTACTTTTCCTGTTTGTTCTTCCTGGCGTTTTGTCCTTTACTTTCCCCTTTACTTTCCTTCTTCTTGTCTTTTTTTGGCGTATTGATTCCCTATCATAATGGCGGCTTTTCCTTGGTTTTCAATCCTTGAGTTAGTGTTGCTCTATCCTTGCTTTTCTGCCTTTGCATGCTTTTCCCACCCTTTTTTTTTCTGCCCCACTGGTGGTTTTGTTTTAGTTCACCTTCAGGAGCAACCCAAGTGCATCATATGAACAGCACTCTGTCATTCTGGGAGCAGCTTTTGTATATAGTTTTCTTTTTTCAGTTCCACTGAAGGAACTATAGAGAAACCACGACCGCACAAACAATTCCCCAACCGCAACAAACAAATTCACAAATGAAAAACGCACCCCATATCTAATGAAGAAAGAGTCATGAGATAAGAATGCTAATCTGAAAACTTGAATCATCTTAAGACCTGTCGTAGTACCTTTGGATTGCCGAGGCAGTCATCACAGGCAGCGAGGATCTGTGTGCTTTCTTGGGAGCATCACCCCACAAAGATGGCTTCATGCTTGTTCGCCCGCTCCCAAGTCTCGCTGAGTGCCATCGATGCACGTTCATGAGTGCTTATGCTGCCCAGCTTTAGCATAAGGCCACTTGCGATCGCTTAAGTTGTCCCTTGCCCTTATTAAGTATTTCATTGATCAGATGGCACAATGATGCAAAGTTGCCTACAACTAGAGCTTTCGGATGCTTTCGGTAGCTTTCGATATATAGCTTTCGCTGCTTTCTTGACATCGGGTGGGTCAAGACGTGTTTTGTTTAAGCATTCTTCCTTCAGGCCGGATCACACGACTACAGCATAAGCCAAACAATAGCTAGAACAGCATGAAAGAATATCAAATACCAAAGGAACTCCTTTATTCAAAGACCTTACTGTTGTTGGTCGTGTAGGCCCGGGCTGGACAGTTGTAACGTTTTGGACTGTTGCTTGGTTTTCAGGATGAGTGTGCCAAGTGATGCTCTGGTTTCAATACCGAGCCCTCCGCCACGACCAGGCGACAAGGCCTTGGCAGCTCCGGTGGAATTCGGACCGACGACTTCGGACCGGCCGTGGCGAGACCCGGCAGGCGGTCTTCATGGGTCTCAACGATCGGAAGCTGAATGGTTGGCCCTGCTCCTGTGGCCCCATCGGGCAGCCCAAGTCGAATCCATCAGGCTCCTCAGATCCCAGTGATGAGAAGCAAGGGAACTGGTTCTGGGCTATTTACATGCGCCAGGACTGGCACGTTTTTGGAACCATCTAAGCAAGCTACCACAGCCAGGTCAAGTTTCCCGCAAAGTGTTTACGCACACTCAACACTCGGTCAGCTCCAGGACACTCGGTCGAACACACTGCAGAACACGGAGATGCTACTGGCGCCTTGCTTGAAATTGGGTGGCAGCATGGTCTCGAGATGTTATACCAGTCTTTGTAGCCAGGTTCATGAGAGCAATTTGGCAGTTCTTCCTTCAGCTCCTGGGCGTGTGCACTCTTCACTGGACCGAGACCGCCAGCAAAAATGAGTTCCAAAATCTCTTTCTCCACTCCCATCCGTCCCACCCTGTGCAGAGTCGTTTGTTAGTCACTGTTAGTCACATGTTGGAATGTTGGAGGCATCTTGCAACGAGCCAGTGACCGGTTTGAGTGCGTCTTCGTCTCTTCGAGGGCCCCCGAGCCGTTGCAGCGCAGGATGATTCTGTGCCGCGGCAGCTCTTGCAGCCCTTGGCATGCTCCGTTGAGGAACGCATCAGTTCCAAAATGCATGTGTAGTAGTAAGGCCAGGAGCCCCTAATAGCGTCCTTGCTCCTAGTAGTGACTATAATATGTATACTGTCTACGGAGTCTACCATATATGGACCCCTACGCCGCTGACCAAACATGTAACAACATGTGCCAGGGGTTGCCAGGCTCCCCTGCCCCTACATTTGAGAGTTGACGTTGAGACCTCAGTGTTGAGGTCCCATTCTGTCCTTTCGCTGCAGAGGGCAGGGTTCCCGTTTAACTCTGGGGCGTTTGGGGGTAGAGCTGTGTTCCCGAGACGTTTCTGAAGAGTTCACAAACGTTGGCAACCGTCCTCATTCACAGCAATGGTCGCTGCATTGCAGAAACCTTTAGGATCTTTACGAGGAGGTCTCCCAGAAGAGTGCCGCACAAGAGTGTCCTGCAACAGTGTCAAGCATGATTGGCCACCAGAGTGTCGCACAAGAGTACCCTGGCAGAGTGTCCTACAAGAGTGTCTCAGAAGATGTCAAACAAGAGTGTCTCAGAAGAATCTCAAGCAAGAGTTCCAAGGAAGAGTATCCAAGAATGTGGCAGAAGAGGGTCAAGCAAGAGTGTCCCACAAGAGTGCCCTACAAAGATGTGCCAAACAAGACAGAGTCTTGACTGAGCGTGCCACACAGTCTGATGTAACTATTCAAATCATTTGGCATTCCGGTTCGTGGGCTTCAGCTTGATTGAGCAGATTTTCTTGGACAGCGTGCGTCGATCCCTTTGGAACGTTCGGCGGCCGGTTTGCGAGCAATTTCACCATCATAGACAACGCCTGGCTTTCCTCAATTCAAAATTCACATTCACGAGATCATCCCAATTGGCTATATGCACCACAGAGCATTCAGTCTCGGGATTTGGATGGTCGGGTCACTTTTCTCCAACCTTGCTTCAATGCCAATAGGAGGAGAATGCATTGCTTTTCGCTCAGAACCAGGTCCGAGTGCCTTGCCCGCAATGACAGACGTGATTGCAAGCGAAAACCGCGCAGATTGGTTTGCGCAGCCAGTACTGCTGTTCCCGTCCCAGGTCATGCTGGCTTGTGCCGGGCCGCATCCAGGCACCGCCCGAAAAAGAGGGCCAGGTGTCTCAACCAAAAAAAAGACTTTTAGTAACAAGAAGCTAGTAGTAACAAGTGCCACGCTAGTAGTAACAGGTGCCTTACTAGTAGTAACAAGAAGCTACTAGTAACAAGTGCATCGCTACTTGTTAGCAGCCTCGGAATCTCCGGCGACGCCTCCGGCGACGCCAGGTCATGAGGTGGTCGCGCTCAAGGAGTTGCGCCAAGAACTGGAGAACTCTGGACGTCTGCAGGGGGACTCCACGTCACGCGATCTGCAAGGGTCGGGGGGTGAGTTTGGCTCCTTCGCAGGTTGTTGAAGGATCAGCCCAAATTCCAACACCGTAATAGGACTGCATACTGGAGACTCGAGACCATGTACTGCAACAATTGACCTGTGAAGTGTGAACCATTGTGTCCAAGGATTTGCAGATGATGACTGTGTGTGCAAGATGTCCCAGGGACATCAGTGAACATGCCAATCCATCAAATGTTTTGCAAGTTTTTGCGGCCGCGCATTGCGCATGTGGTCGCCTGACGCCCAGGTCATGCAGTCTTGTGGCCACAGTTAGTGCCCAGAGCGCCATCGAGGACCCACGTTTCAAGCGGGTTCCAGTCGTTCCTTGCCGTCGATCGTCTGTACACCTAACAGGATGAGAGGGATCAAGAGCAGCGTGTCAAGGATGAATTCTTCCTGCATATGCAAGAGGTGCGCCGCAGGCTGGAGTTGAGTTTCCTGTCGCCTTGGAAGTTAGTAAATTTGCAGCTAATGTTAACTGACTCATTCCTACAAGGCAAAGGGCAATTAGAGATGACGAGGGAAAGTCCGAAGCAACAGCAAAACGAGAGGATGCCGAGGTCAGAGCTCCAGTCATGCCAAAGGCTAAAGCAGAGCCTGCCAAGGCCAAAGCCAAGGCAAAGGCCAAGCCAAAAACCCGTGGCATGGCAAAACCCAAGGCAAAAGCAAGAGCCAAAGTGGAAGCCAAAGACACTGTGAAAGGGAAGGTCGAAGCGAAAGCTGAAGCAAAAGCCAACAGCGAGGCAAAGGCGAAGCAAATCCTTGAGCAAGTGGGCGAAAGTCAAGAATCAGGAGTTGCCTAGCTGCAAGGTGCTGGCTGCGGTGGATGTTTGGCCCTCATACATGGGCATCTTACTTGGAGGTGTACAAGAATCCCAAACCATGCACCTATCAGGGAATCCCTATCCGGAAGAAACCACCGATGGGGAAAAAAAGATGCTGCAGCTCCAGCGTGGGCCGCTGGGCCGCTGGGCTCCGGCTTCGGTCAGACCGAGGAGCCCATACCTGATGGTGCAGCCCCTGATGGGCCGCTGCCGCTGATTTTAGACCTCCCCGCGTGGGAGGTCTTGGCCTGGCGATGCTTTCTCATGCGCTTGCGCCAGCGAGGCTGTGGCCACCGTGGCTGGGCCGAACCAGAACAAGGGAAAAGAGCTGTTCACATTGGCTCAGAGTCTCTAGACTTTCTCATGCTTTTTCGCTCCAATGAATCTGAATGGGTTTTGTTTTTTTCTTTTCATGTTTTGTCATGTTTTGTCAATCAATTGGGCCCGTGAGCTGTACTTGGTGAGCTGTACTTCGACCAAGGTCTGCGCCTCTGGCACAAACAACCACGGCCGAGAGGCTTTGGTACGCCCAAACCGAGCATGCAAACCGCAGGTGGCGATTCATGGCAAAGCGAATCTTGCGAAGGCTGCTCCGGGTGAGACACACAAACATCAAGCAAATCCTAGACTTACAGTACTTTCGTGTGCTTGTTGCATCGACATGGTTCGCATGAGCAGTCAATCGTGGGATTCTTTTCACTTGTTGAAGGTGGAGGACTCAGCCAGCATCTCCCACGAAAACATGCCATTTACCCGGCTGAAAACTAACATGGACGTGAAAGCCGCTGGTTTGTAGAGGAAAACAGCCTTTCGTGCCATTCTCAGGGTCCATGTTAGTTTTCAGGAGTGTACCCCATGAACGCCCCCCGACCCCTTTGGGCCAGCGGACGGTTGGGAGGCCGTCGGCGGTTACGCCTGGCACGATGGCGCCTGAGGGGCAAGCAGAGCCAGCCCTTTTACACGCTCCCACGCTCTGTCCAAAATTCTGCTGGCGGCGTTTGGACTTGACCGGACTTGGCCGGACCAGTTGAATCCGAGTTGCCCCATCCTGAAAATTTATCAAGAGATATTGTTCTTTTTTGCTGATGCGTAGTTGCCCTCAGAGCTGACTCATCTTGGAGCAAAATCTTTGCAATTTCAATTGGCCACCTCAAACTCATTCACTCCCGACCTACCTGCCTACCTACCTAAACATTATTGTTAGCTTAAGTTTATCCATGTGCGTGACAAGCGGGCAGTGTTCGACTTGATCCAGGGTCGTCGACTGCCACTCCTGGCCCGGAACTAAGTGAATCTGATCCGAGAGAACTTGGGATTTTGCGTGGCTGGAGGTCAAGAGGAGTCAAAACACAAGATTGCCTTTGCCTCAGTTTTGGGGTCTCCATCCGTGAAATTCAAGACTCCAAAGAAGGATTAGCTTAGCTACGGAACCAAGACTGGCAGCGTCGATGTCCAGCTACTGCTTGGTGCACTCGCGCAGGCTTTCACAGAGCGGCTGAAGCTTCTCTCTTTTTGGCAAGGGGCTTAGATTTGTAACCTCAAAATCTGGCACGCAGGTCAAGGCGAAATTGCTTTCAACTCAAGAAGATGTCGCATAAGTGAGCAGTGGAAGTGGGTCCTGCAGTAGTTTCGGCTGCATGACATGAAACTGCACCTTGGAAGCCCTGGCATTCTCCGAGGTATTTCTTGGACCCCGCGCGTGCTACACGCTGGCTTGAGCACCCGTTGTTTGGTGAGAAGGCCCTGGAACACCTTTGGAAAGGTGCTCGACACGCCGAGTTGTTGGTTTTGTTAAGGCCAGCTCTGAGCTGAAGTTTGCCCGTGAGTTTCAGGTGACAGGCTTGTCCGAGGGAAGATGGATGTGGTTCAAGCAATGGGATCAGAAAGCCACACATTGTCAACGCGGAGTCAAGCGTTTCAATGAGTTGTCAATGCGGAGTCAACCAGAGTCTCAGTGAGTCAACCACAAATTGTCAATGCTTCTTTTCTTTGGTTTCAATGAGTTGAAGAGTGAATGCGTCACGACTGGTTGGCTAGGCCTGGTGGCTGACCGTGTGCAGCATGCCATGGATACCGCATGCCGGGTCAGCACCTGAACGCAGAACGGGTCGCAAGGGGTCACAGTGATGGCCTCCAACCTAAGAGCCTCGTTGCAGGTGCTGCACTCGGCCGGCGTGCCGGAAGCTGGGACCAGCTGTCCCGAAGTCATTGCGCCTTGGTTAATCCACCGCTCGCGTGAATCGCCTTTCTTGCCGGCACGCAGAACCCTTGCGCCTTGGTGGCGTGGTCCAAGGTGTTTAAAGCCCTGCCAGGTGTGGAACCCGTTCTTTTTTTCCCGTTTGTTTCATCCACATGGCGGGAATGGAACGGGGGCACGACGTGGCGACTTGCCATTCGGTTCAAGCACTGATCAATCGAATAGAGTAGAGCATGGGAGTTCCAAAGTCCGTGATCCGTGACTGACAATGAGTTCATGTCGGAAAGTCAACAGTGCCATGTGAGGCGCTTGAACCTCATACACTACCATTTCGCAGTAGCAGCAACATGAGTATGATTCCAAAAGGGAATTCGAAGTCTGGCCTTCCAATGCAGCGCTCAGTGCCAATCTTGGCGCTTCTCGCGCTTTGTTGGAGCCCAGGTGCCCCAAAGACTTTGTTTTATGTGCCTCGTGTGCAGTTGGAGCAAGCTGAATGTCATGGACGTCCTGCTCCACAGGCTTTGTTGGTCGGGAATGGCGTATATGGCCAGCTGCACGTCCAGCGCCTGCAGCACCTGCAGGGCTGCGTGCCAGGTCCGCACGTCCAGCTGTGCAATTCCAACGTGCCTTGGCTTTCTGGCTGCCTTCTTACTAGTAGTTTCGTGTTCCTAGTAGCGATGGCCTCCAACCTAATAGCAATGGCCTCCACCTGATAGCTTCGTGTTACTAGTAGCAACACATGTTTTTATTGGTGTACTAATATGTACTATATAATAGGTTTGCACAGTAGTAGTTGAACGATGATTCGTTGATTCGTTGTTGGAGTACTCCAGCTTCAATGTGGCTTTTAGTGTTTGGTGGTTCCTTTCCGATTTCTCAGCATTTGGAGGGGTACTTTTTTAAGGTTTATTGTTCTGATTCACATGAGCACGGCTTGAGATCAGCAGCTTTCTTTTTGCAGTTCTTTTTTTAACGTTATTTTTTTTGGGTTTTGCTTTTGCTACTTTTCTGCTTTTGCTGCTTTCTTTTTTCCTGCTTTCTGCTGTTGCTGTTTTTTGCTCTTGCTGTTTGTTTTGGTTTTCTCTGCTTTTCTTATGCTTTTGCTCCTTTTGGTGCTTTGCTGTTTTCTTATACAATACTGTATTTTCTTTCGCCTTTCCTTTTTTCCCGCTTTCTCTGCTTTTTGCTTTGCTGTTTATTATTGTTGGTTTGCTTTTGCCTTTATATATATATATATACAAGTTTGTTGTTTTTTGCTTTGTTCTTTTAATGCTTTGTTTCTTAACTCGGATCGTTTGTCTTTTGTTGCTTTGGTTGCTTTGCTGCTTTTCTGCTCTTGTTGCTTCTGTAGAATTTTCTTGCTGTTGGGTCTTCTGTGCTGCACTTGTTGCTGTTCGGTCTACTGTGCGGTGCACTGCTACGCAACTTGCACACACTCGTGTTTCATATACTTTTTATTCACACCAGCACATATCAGACAGAGAAGCTGAGAAGCCTCAATATGCTTTGCACATGGTTGTTTTGCAGTGTTGGTGGGACGCGGCATCAAGGAGGAAGGTGCCATCCCAATGTAATTAGCAATAATGTTGACCTCTGATTAATAAATGGGGGGTAGCGCTTTTTGAAATCTTGGTTTACACTAAATAAAGTTCATCCCAGGCGCCAAGAAAGAATTTAATAGAGAAATTACATGACCCCTTACTAAAATGAATGCTAAAATGAAAGGAAGAACGGATTTAATAGAGAAATGAAATGACTTATGGAAATGCATTTTAACATTAAGGGACAGGGGAAATTAGTTTTGAATTAGAAGTGAACTAGAATTAAATTTGAGTTGAGATTGAATGAATCAAATTAGAATCAAATTGGAATTGAATTGGAATTGAATTAGAATTAAATTGGAAAGGAATTAGGATTGAATTTGAGTTGAATTAGAATTGAATTGGAATCAAATTAGAATTGACATGCAATGGAATTAGATATTTAGGAGTTGAATTAGAATTGAATTTGAATAAGAACTGAATTAGAGTTGAAGTGGTATTGAAGTAGAATGATACAATTAAAATTGAATTAGAACAAATTTATTGTTCCTATTCTCATTTGTTATTGTTTTTTCAGTCAGCAACATTGTTTAGCTTTATTTAGGGTATGGTGGAAGGCTCTGTGACGCGCATTAGGTTGCCCCCTAGTGCGCGTTTAGCTTGTAGCCTTAGCACTGCCGCGGTGTGTGCCGTTGATGGTAGTGCGACTGGCCCATTGCTGGCTTTTTTTTTCAGCGCTTTTTACCACGGCTTTAACGCAGCTGAAGGAGGCTGCGTGGCATCGGAGGCTCCGCCAAGTGAGGCAGAGAGCAAGGCACAGGTGGACCGATTCTGTGGGCAAGCGATCAAGAAAGAGGGCTCTCAGAGACTTCTTGTTGCTGCAGTCCCACCACGGTTCCAGACCGAACCTAGCCTTACTGCGTTCTCTGAAGATGTGGCAGTGTTACTTCTGCAATGTCATCAATGGGGAGAAAGCTGTTCGGTGCAAGAAGTGCCGTGGTTGGTGGGAAGAGTGCTGGATAAACACCAGTCGTGCCAAATCTACAGAGAAGAAGTCAAGGAAGAGGTCCAAGTCTCGTCAAGCCAAGGAAGAGGGAACAGCCTCAGATCCCTTGAAGCCCTTCGGGACAGTCAAAAAGGACCAAAAGTCGGAACCTGCCGCTGCTTCAGCGCCATGGGCTTCAACGACCCCGGCGAGGAAGATTGCCGTTCATCGAGCCGAAGAAACCACCGAGGCCGAGAAAGGCAGTTATACATCTATGGAGACAGCAAAGATGAAGCAGAATTTGGAGGTTCTGAAAACTGCACTTGGGGATTCAGCTCCAGAAGAAGTTGCTCTGTCTTTGCAGCAGTTGGATCAATCGATTCCAACAGCTGCCAAGGTTTCAGAGGAGAATTCCCTCAATGCTTCTCATTTGTACAAGCTCCTGAATGCGAAGAAGCAAATGGAGCGTGCGAGAAACAAAGTGCAAGAGCTAGATGCTGCTTGGAAGTCATTCCAAAGCACTATAGCCAAAAGGATCCAAGAACAGAAGGAATCTTACACAGAGCAGAGGGCAGCAGCTTTGCAGATCTACCAAACCAAGGTCCAAAGACTGCAAGAAGCGGAGAAGGAATTGAAGTCGAAAACAGCGGAAGCTGGTGCCTTGTCAATCGACGAGGATGCTTCAGACGCTATGCTGCAGGAAATGCTCCTGAGGGCGCAAGAGCAGGATGTAGAGCCCTTGGAGATCGACGACGATTCAGAGCTCAGCAAGGAGATCCCAGACCTTCGACCCTTCAAGAGGTTTGGGAATGCCACATCTCCCAAGAGAAAGCTCGAGGAACCGTCAACAGCAGCAGAAGCTTTGAATGTCAAAGCCAAAAAGTAGAAGTGTGGGATTCGCTGTTCAGCAGGAATTGCCAGCTCTTGGCGCCGTTTTGGGCTGACGAGAGCAAGGCCTTCGGTGTTGTCGATATGTATGCGAGCTGTCGGTCATGGGAAACGTACAGCTTAAGATATAAGCCTGTCAGTTTGGTATCCTCTATGCTGCATTTGTCCATGCATTGGAGGATGGCAGGTATTCCGGGAGCTAGGGAGCTGTCAATTTTTGGCATTAGCGTGCATGAGTTGTCCTTATGTCACGTTGCTTGTCAAGTGTCTTCCGCCTGCATCTCTTCTTGCTATGATAGTGATTTAGATAGGAGGGTTCCCTTCCTTGACTCGAAAGTCCCCGGTAGTGGCAGCCGGATCAATTATACTGATGTTTTTCGGCAAGACGAAGTCAGGACGATTCACTTTTGGGTTATCTGGAGTAAGGTCATTCTGGACATTGGCATGGGTCTGGGGTGTATGATTTCCCTATTCCGAAAGTTATGCCAATCAATTCAGATTCGTTGCAAATGCCGAAAAAGGAAGTTGGTTCAGGTTCGCGCGACTCGATATAGTGTAAGAGTACGAGTGCACAGACCTTTAGGCCAGGGTCGTACTTGGTTCATGCTTTACCTGATTGCTTTCGATGCTATGCCAGCATGGAGCATGTCCCCATATGGAGATGAGAGTATGAGCGTTGTTCCGCAAAGTGGTGTCGAGCTTGCGAATCATGCCGTCTGGGCTGTGCAAGTCAGTAGCTGCAACGTCAATGATTCTGGGAGGCTCGGATTCCAGATTTTTGCGCAGGAGCAGTCACTTACTGGCAGATGTGCCCCTGAGAGTATGATTGAACCTGAATGGGTCCAACGAGCTGATATTCAGAGTGTCGGTTCTGGAATTTTATTTCCAGTAATTCCTCAGCCCTTCAGCGATGCATGTTGCCTTGTGCTGCAGCCAAGCAGTACTTGTCACTTCGCTGTGTTGATAGGCAATACAGAGGCTCTGCAGCTCCAGATGTGTGACCCCAACCATGCGCTTGTTGATCCTCTTTCTGGGGTGCAAACAAGTATCAACAGGGGGTATTGGTACCGAAAAGGAGTTTTTGAGAACGGAGTCCTTTCATTGGCGGTTGAAGATGATCAGGATGCTTAATGCAGCTCCCGAAGATGGTATCTCATCCTGGAGGTTTTGATGTTGGAACATGGTGTGAAGGTAGAAATGAACATGGAAACAAGTTTTTCCGTGTTTGGTTTCATCATTACCTGCAAGCCAATCAGTTCCGCAGCTTTTCCAGGTACGTTGAGCTCCCGACAAGTACATGTCCTGCCTTTGTGATTGCTGATCTTTTTCGAGATAAGCTTGAATATAGGCGGTTTGAGTTGGCAATTGTTCAGTCTATGCGAATTCGTGGTCGGCATTTGATGGTGACGCCAATTGCTAGTTTTCCTGGCATTCTTTTGCTAGTGAAGACTTTAGGCCATGAAGCTAAAATCGGAACCATCCTGTTTCGACAAGGCTGGGATATCACCGACGTTGCTGCAATCATCAAAATCATTGATAATTGGTTTTCCCTTCCAATATGTGCAGTGTCGGCATTGAGTGCTGGGTTGAAAGTGACAGTGGTAAAAGAAATTATGGTGAGGATGTCCAAGTGGTCTCGGGAGATTTTCTCTCAGTGTTTGTTGAGGATTTGGAGACGCCAAGAGTTGGATCGCAATCTGATACTGACACTTGTGACTCACTGCGGACGTCTTACAGTGGCTTTCATGAAAGGGATGGCAGCAGTTCCCACGACAATGCCTCAATCGGGGAAAACACTGCAACCCCAAGGGCAGAGTCGCAAGATCCTTTTGGTAGGAGTGTGAGTAACAGGGATAACACTGCAACCCTGAGAGAGGAGCGAGAAGAAGATGAAGAAGTCTCCAACTTCATGCAGCTCACTGACGATGCTATTATAGAGTTGCGATGGTCAAGGGCCATTCATGCAGCGCAACATCAGCAACCGATGCGTGACCCTGCCAATTTCGCAGTTCAAAATTTTGTCCGCAGAGATGGCCTGCGCAGTTGGCTACAAGGGTTGCCTGATGGTATTGATGTTGAGCAGGCCTTCATGCTAGCAGTTTGGAGAATCCATCCAGCACTACTGGTTACCTACGCTCCCGATCGTCTTTTGCTACAGGGTGGCAACCTGGCACGGCATTTTAGGGAGTTTTGGAGAGTCAACGATGACTTCAAATCGCCGAAGGTGGCAGCTATTGAACCACAACCAGTAAGGCTGAGTGGCTTTGAACCGCCTCAGCTCCATCTGCTTGCAGTTGAAAATCGGCATTTGAGTTCAGATCAGATGGTACACTTGTTTGAGGTTTGGAAGGTCAAGGATGCTACGGCTTCAACGGGAAGAGAGTTCCTGGCTCGAATAGCTGCCATCTTACCTCGGACATCCACAGTGAGACAAATTTTGAGGGAGTTGGGTTATTCCGAGCTACTCCAACAATCTCATGTTGCCAGTTTCTCCTTAAGAATCGGTAGAAGACGATTGATGTACGAAGATGACCAAGTCCTCAAGGTCCCTGACTTCTCCTTGGTTGACTTGGTGCTGGTGATTCAAGAAGGCCAGCCAACTACACAAGTTTGCGGCACACAACAGCGTGCTGATCAGCAAACAGATGAGGTAGCAGAAAATGCGAGTGTGACGAACCGGGCGGATGGAAACAGCGAGGGAAACACTGCAACCTCGGCTGAGGGACAAAGGAGGAGCCTCACTTGGGAGGATTTTGAGCTACCACCGAATTTTGCGTTGAGCTCCTTTTCCAGGTCGGCTTACCCCAGTTCTTCTGCTGCCGGTGCAAGTTCCGCGATGCAGACACAAGCAAATCCGCAAGAGCAGGAAGAAGTTGAAGACCATACTGATCTAACGCAGCGCTTCCAAAGATCGCAACAGGGTGAGTTCACCAGAGATCTTGTGAGGCGGCGAGTTTGGGCATCTACACTGGACCCTCGGTGCCCGAGGCGATTCATTGGGAAGCCTTTGAGCGTGCTGCTTTATACCGAACCACAGTGCTGGGTTTTGAAACCATTAGGCAAGAGCATTATGCCATTTGTCGTGGTGATCCAGACTTGGTCACTGTCACCCTAGGGAATGTTCATAACCAACTTGAATATTCCTGGTTCCTCACATGTCATTCGTTGCCTCTTGCGCTTAGCACATTTGTAGGGTGGATGAGGTTCGAACTGTGGGATGTTATGGGCATAGAGCTGGAGGTGACTGCTGCCCTTACCTGGCCTGCAGTGACGCCACGAGAAAGTGACCAAATTGATACTATATATCTAGTTGGCATTTGAGAAGTTGATGATCGAATGATGCCGATACTGGTTGTCATTTGGACAATGCTAAGTGAAGGTTTCCATGTTCAACGAATTCCTCTTGAAGCCCCTCGTGTCATTGAGTGCTCTGATCTGCTGTGGATGGTAGGAGTAGCGGAAATATGTGCTCATCAGGCTGTCGAATGTGAGATTACGCATAATTCGTCTCCTTGTAGGCGTAGATGGTTGTTGCAGGAAGGAATGAAGTTTGTAATTGATATTCGGCCAGCTGTGGAACCAGGGGAAGAGTCCTGTAGCGCTATGAACGAAGTCGTTGACAACGAGGATTCTGTGCTTATGCAGCATGGGGCAGCATGTGGGCATGCTCGTCAGAATCTCATCACCGAGGCCATTTTGCAAGGTAGGCGCCGTCATCGGGAATGGAGCTACCATGTATGGTGGCACCCTCAGAATCATCGTGGACTGAACTCTCGAGTTCGAACACTTCACCTCAGAAGGGCCGATTGTGCTGAATGCCAGTTGCAACGGCATCTTAGTCAAGAACTTGAAGGAGAAGGTGTTGTCCTTACTGCTGTTTGGGCAGCAGAGAGTGAGAATGAATACAGATGGTCCTTTGTTGCTCGATCCGCGTGCCAATTATGCCAAGTTCTTTTGATTCGGTATCAAGAAGGGTTGCGAGTTACCGATGGTACGATCATGTTGGGCAACGGGAGAGACGATTTCACGGTTGAGGCAGTCTTCAATATAGTCTTCCCATGCAATAGATGTGCAGAGAGTCAAGATTGTTGGCTCATCGATCCCTTGGACTGGGTATGGTTTTGGGGCAGCTTTCTGGATGTTCCGGAAGGAACCCTGCTAAAGATGTTCTTGGAGGATCGCGAGGAGCTCAACAATCATATTGGCAGTGAAGGCTGTGAGGAAAACACTGCAACCTCTGCCTTCCCACTGCTGGATGAGCCACTCAATGTCATCCATTCGATGGTGCAAGAACAACATACGTACAACAATGAGAACGATCATGAAGCATTGGATGAATGGTCGAGCATGCAAACGCATTCGCGTTTAAAATGGGACAGTGGCCATACATCAATTTCAGCGCATCATTTTCAATACTGTGTTGACAACCAGGTAGCATGGTGCTGGCCAATTAGGCTGCGTTACCGTGAGTTGTATTGGGCATGGCACGGAAGTCAGTTCGACTTTGTCAGGACGCAAATGCTGGACATGAAAGTGCCATTAAGTGATACAGCTCTTACTGGATGGATTTTTCGTGATCCTCAACAGATTCTAGGAGACGAGTTCTCATGGGGCATGTTAAATGACCTCCCTTGGTCCCTTCAGATTTCTCGGTTGATGCGGAGCTCATCACTGCAAGACAGCCTTCTGTACACTGTGTGCCCTCAGCCGGAAGAGCCTACTGGGTTGCAGGCAGCTAGTCTGCATCTCGTTGTGCCTTGGGAAGGGATGCCGCCAATGCTGCAAGTCATTGTAGTTGAGCATAGATTGCATGGAGTTGTGGAACGCAAGACAGTTGCTTGTTCTGAGCATTGTACTGTTCTGAGCATTGTTCAAGCATTGTTTGGCTTCATGGGGAGAACCCTTTCCAGAGTAGTTTTGATCAGTTTCCAATGGTTTAAATTAGGGACTTATAAAGAATTGTTTGAAGGTTTTGTGGTATGATGATACGAAGTTGTGAGATGAAGAGGAACGGATTTAATAAAGAAGGAATCCAAAGAAGCAATCTGTTGACAAAAGAGAAAAAATAAGCAAATACTAACTCAACAAATTTGTTCAGTGAACGACATTGTATAGCTCTATTTAGGGTAAACTTTATTTACGGCATGCTGGCTTCAGGAAAAACATTTGGTTTATTTTGGGGAACACTCTATTTACTTTACTTCCCCAATAGCCATGCTATGGGGTCTTGCAAAATTAATAGGCGGACGGGCGCCGTCGGGTCACCGTTAGAGCTGGTGGGCGGATGGTGTCCCGGTCATGTTTTGATGGCGTCCGGATCATGTGATGCTGGTGTCCCGGTCATGTTTTGATGGTGTCCCGATCATGTTTTGATTGTGCCCCAATCATGTTGTGATGGTGTCCCGGTCCTGTTTTGATGGTGTCCCGGTCATGTTTTGATGGTGTCCCGGTCATGTTGTGATGGTGTCCCGGTCATGTTTTGGTGGTGTCCCGGTCATGTGATGGTGTCCCGGTCATGTTGTGATGGTGTCCCGGTCATGTTTTGATGGTGTCCCGGTCGTGTTGTGACGGTGTCCCGGTCATGTTTTGATGGTGTCCCGATCATGTAATGGTGGCGCGGTCATGTTGTGATGGTGTCCCGATCATGTTTTGATTGTGTCCCAGTCATGTTGTGATGGTATCCCGGTCCTGTTTTGATGGTGTCCCGGTCATGTTTTGATGGTGTCTCGGTCGTGTTGTGACGGTGTGCCGGTCATGTTTTGATGGTGTGCCGGTCATGTGATGGTGGCGCGGTCCTGTTGTGATGGTGTTCCGAGCATGTTTTGATTGTATCGCCGTATCGCAGTCATGTTGTGATGGTGTTTCGGTCATGTTTTGATGGTGCCCTGGCCATTTTGTGATGGTGTGCCGGTTATGTGATGATGGTGTCTAAGGAAGAGATGGTCGATGAGTTGAAAACAGCAGTTGTTTGTAAATTTTTCTTTTTGTTCCGGTTTGTATCTTGCTATTGGGGTCCCCAGCTGGGCTAATTTGCTAACTTTATTTCGGGGAGGTTTATTATTTGGGACTTTGCCAACTCAATTTTTGGGTAGATTTATTGATCAGAGGTCAACATTATGCCTGTGTGCGCAAGTGGATCGCAGCGTGGGCAAGTGGTGCATGGGTGCGCAAGTGAGTCTATTTTTGCGTGTGCAAGTCGATGTTTGGACATGGCCTCTTCGTAATCAAGTAGGCAGGGGCGCACTGCCGACGTCGCTTGCGCAAGTGAGTTGCGAGCCGACCCCAACAAACACCACCGAACTTGAGAGAAACAAAAATCACGCGCCCTTCCCACAACCCCCCTCCAGCGCCACGAAAAGTTTTTTTTTTTTTTTTTCTCAAATGTTGCCCACGCTCCACTGCACCGGCCACCAATGCAAAATCAGCGCTACTTCTTCGACTGTACTTTGCTTGCTACGACAGCTGTTTCTCTTCTGCTGCCGAAATTGTTTCTTTTTAATGCTCAGCCACTCACTCCGCCTTGCCAATTCCCTTTAAAGGACGATTCCGAATTAAGAGTTCGCCCTTTCCTAGATCGCAGTTTCCCCATTCCGAAAACCGACCGCAGGCTACACTTGGTATAGTTTCAATAGTGCTCCGGTTAAGTGTGACAATGAACTGCAACTCCCACTAGTGACTAGTGTAGCAGACCTTACATTTGTCAGCTCATGTCTTGACATTCTTTCAACACAGCTCAGCAGGCTCAGCACAAACTTGTTGGAAGTCATGTCGGCTGGGGAGGGAGGGGGGGGGGGGGGGGGGGGGGGGGAGAGAGAGAGAGAGAGAGTGAGAGAGAGGGAGAGAGAGAGAGAGAGTGAGAGAGAGAAAAAATAAGAGAGAGAAAGAGAGAACACTTGGCAAACGGATGGTGCAAGTCAATAGACTAGACTTGCAGACTTGCTGACTTTGTTCACCAGATTGGTTTGGATCACCAGATTGGTCAATACACTTCATTCGGCAGGGGTCACTAGATTGGTTTGGCATGCTGGCCTTTGCCATCGCCTTGATCTCAGGGGCCGGCTCACACTCTGGACCAGGCGGGTGGCTGTGTCTTTGCCTCCGGCGGTGGCAGACTCTGGTGATAAACGCAAGGAGAGAGAGAGAGAGAGAGAGAGAGAGAGAGAAAGAGAGACATAACTTCACTGTATCATGCGAACTGCTTGTTGCTTGCTTTGTTGTTGGGTTGAAGTGCCAGATGCCCAACGGCTACTGTCACAGCAGTCCAAGCCACTCCTGGTGTTTCTTCCAGGCCTGGCCGTACTCAGACCAACAAACACTTGGATATGCAATTAGGAGTTATGATTTCTTGAGCAGCCAAGGACTGCAGTCTCTTTGACACTTGCGCAGCCATCTATCGAAGGCTTTTCTCCGAGACACTTGCCGCCATGCCTCGGATCCCTCAGAGCAGATCTGCTGGAGCGCTGCCGGGGGTTGGCAAAGCCAACGTCTCCCATCTGCAGCAATCAGGAGGTTTGGTGGTCGCTGACTCGAATCGGATGACCTGGGGTACCATTGACATGACTTCAGATGGCCCCACCGCCGCGATGGTGAAAGGCTGGCCTCGCTGGGCCATTCCCGGCTTTTTGGACGAGGTACCGCCACGCCTGGATTTGTGTCGTCAGCGCTTGCTGGCGGCTGAGATCGAGCTGGGCCGGGCGGAAAAGGCGGGGGGGCCTAGACATCGGGGATTCCGCGCCGGAAAAGGCGGAATCTGTTCCGGCGGTCTTGCAGGATTTGCCCCCCTTGGCCGGGCCGGACGACGGGCCGGATGAGTTTGCCCACTTGCCGCATGAGGGTGAGATGTTGCTGGAGCAGGTGTCGGAGCTTGAAGCACAGCTGTCATCCACTGAGGTGAAGTTCAAGGACTTGGAAACGAGTCATGCCGCAGCGAGACAGCAGCGCAATGCATACTCCTCTCAGTTGGACTCCTCGACAGAGCAAATCTCAGCGCTAGCAGCGCGTATCGCTGCTTTGGCGGGAGAGTTAGACACTTCGCAGCAACACAATCAAGAGTTGAAAGGGAAGATTGTGGCCTCACGAGCCAACACACAGAAGTTGCAACAGCAGCTGCTCAAGAGCGATCGAGAAGTGGCGCATGCCAGGTATGAGAACTGCAAGCTGGAAGAGTTCTTGCAGTCCACTCGAGGGGTTGCTGAAGACTTTCGAGACCGGCTCGAAGTGTCGGAGGCTGAGCAGGACAAACTGCGTGCTCGGATCCGTGAGCTGCAGGAGAGCAACGAAGCTGTGAGGGAGGATGCCAACCAGCGCATCGAGGAGCTCGAAGAGGCTTTGCAAGAGGCAGACAGCAGCATTGAAGAGTTGCAGCAGGAAAAGGAGACCTTAGAGCAAAACCGAAACCGCTTAGCTGAGTCTTTGCAAGCACAGAAAGAGCAAACGAGTGCCCAAGAACAACTCGTAGCCAGCTTACGCCAGCAGCAGGTGCAAGAAGAGCGCTCAAAAGCAGCTGTCCAAAAGCAGCTCGATGGGAAAGAAAAAGAAGTAGAGGAGCTGCAAAAGCAACTTGAAAGAATGGCGCAGACCATAGAAGAAGCAGAGCAATCAAGGGCTGCAGCAGAAGAGCGCGCTGCTGCACCACAAGAGCCCCCAGACACGGCAGCAGAGGTGGCAGCCAGCGAAAAAGCTGGAAAACAGCGCATTGAGGAGCTTGAGGAGGCTTTGCGCCAGCAGCAGATGCAAGAAGAGCGCTCGAAAGCAGC